TGAAAAAGTTGTCATTTTAAATCCCCCCTGTGGGCAGGTTAAGCGTCATATTTACAAAAAAAATATATCAAATGATAGGTAAAGACATCAAGCATCTATAAAAAGAAAAATTATATTGATATGTTCATTTTTGAAAAAGTTACGGTAGTTTTTAGTAATAAAAATTGAAAAAATTTCGAAATTTAGCGATTTTTAAATTTGTAATTTTTTTTGGAGGTTTCCCCCATTTACGGGGAACGAGGGAATTTTTTTCAATTTTTGAGGGNAATATTTCCGGAAATTTTTCAAAAGTTCAGTTGAAAAAGTTAGTTTTTGTAAAAAAGTTGCTATTTTAAATTCCCCTTATGAGCAGAATAAGTGTTAGATTTTCAAAAAAAATGATATCAAATGAAAGGGAAATATCAAATGTTTCAATATAAAAAAATATTATTTTGATTTGTTAATATTTGAAAAAGTTATGGCCATTTTAAGTACAAAAAACGTCCCGAAAAAAGGTGGTTTTTATCACAAACATTACATTTTTAACACGCTTATATTAGTTTCACCTGTATGTATGTATGTATGTATGTATGTATGTATGTATGTATGTATGTATGTANTTGGCGATTTTTAAATTCATAATTTTTTTGGAGATTTCTCCCATTTACGAGGAATGACCGATATTTTTTCAGTTTTTGAGGGTAATACGACTGACTTTGACGTGTATTAAATTAATTAAAATAAACATGTAGTTGGTCCTGTTTAGACCCTAACGCTGTATGCTTATCTTTAGGTTATAGGGACGTTTGTGCCGATTAGACACTAGTGTAGTTTTTAAGTGTAAATAGTGTTGGTGTAGAATGAGTCATCTGTCCATAAAATCTCTATGGTATTGGATATTATTAATTAATCTGTCTCTATAATGGTGATTAAGTAAATTAGTTTCATGTTTTATTTATCCAAACACTACTATGATAATATTTAATCATTTTATAGGATTACATTGCAAATCATCTCATATTGAATGCATAACTTATTGTTCAGTACCATCAGTTTGCACATCTGACCATAAACCAGTATGGGGCTTGTATAAATGTGTCATTAGACCGGGCATAGACACGTAAGTAATAAAAATCTGTAGATATATAGTAGGGAATTGCAAAATAAGTATCTCTAAAATAATAGTATTATTAAAAATAGACTTTCTATAAAAATTCAAGATAAAAAAAAATTTAATTGTTGCTTGATGTGCTTAAAGCAAATTGACCAACAATACCCTAAAAATTAATTATGATTTAAACTATTACTTTTTTAGACAAATATCATAAATAGCATATCTAACTTTATTTATTTTTGGTGTTTAGTTCAAGTGTTTTAGTTTCTAAAATCTAAACAAAGTATTGATTACAAAAAAATATAATTAATGGATTAGTCTCCAATTAAACGAAAATATTGAAAAAAAAATTTAATTATTATTTTTAATGATTGGTCAGTGTCTTTTAGGTGATACATTTTTTTTTTTGTCTTTAATGAAGCTCAAAATTTAAATTTTTTTGGCAAAATAAAAGTTAGAAATTGTATGCAATTTTTTTTTACTTTGAAAATCGTATTTACTAATGGGAAAAGCCTTAAACACGTATTTTTGTTTGCATTTTATATGTTACAAAATTTTCATTTTAAAAAATTTAGTTTTTTTTCAACATTTATTTTATGTTTATGAGGTTTGCCTTTTGGTGATTATGATAATAATCAACGGCATATTTATATGCAGGCAATATAGGCAACTGCCTACAATGGCATATTTAAATATTGAAGGCCATCATATTTATAAAAAACAAGTTATTTTTTTATTGTTGTTATGACATATTGACTTCCTAATAATTTTCATTTATTGTGTATTTATTATATTTATATTAATAGCTATAAGCAGTTTATTTTATGATTTATTAATAAACTTAGATTTGTTTGAAAAATATTTTTAGATACTTTTTTTTTTTTGAGGAAGAATTACTAGTGTTATAGTAAAAATATATAAAAATGAGCCCCATCCGTCATAACGTAATGAAGGACAGCATATTTTTAAATGCCTAAAGGCGGAAAATATGTGAATACGCCCCTAATAATAATTATCATATATAATATGTATATTATCATATACAAGAGACAAGTCTTAATACATAAATTTTGTTTGAGCCACTTATGAGGGTTCCAAGTTTATTCAACTTTATCGTAGCATAGATATATTTTTTATTTTTAGAGGAAAATAAATACATCTAATTCCCCCCCCTCCATTAACAGCATATTACTATGATTTAAGTAATTAATACAAATTTGTACTGGTTGATGGTGTGTTTGGAATAACCTAACAAAATTTATAAATGTCTATAATTATTATAAATTAATA